TGGGGGCGCAGGGTCTGGGGGCTGCCCAGCAAACCGTGAAGCTGGTAGCGCTGGGGCAGCCCTTTCCCCCTGCCTGGGAGTGGGAGGGAGGAGGGGGCGGAGTTGGGGCGGGGCAGGGGCGGAGTTGGGGCGGGGCTAGGCGATGGGAAATGGGCGGGGCCAGGGCCCGTGGAGGGTCCTCTTTTTTTATTTATGAGATATGGTAACCCTGCACATGGCACATACTGCTCCTTACAGACTTCCCCAGTGAAATCGACCCAGAGTCTTGTCAGTTTCACTGCTGGCCACTATTACAGTCAGGACACTCAGATCGGATCGGCAGCATCTTGCTGCTAACTCCGAAAGCGCCGAGGAAGGGCAGAGACAGAGCCTGGAGCTATCGCTCGGTGGGGGGCAACTAAGTCCCCAGGTGGCGGTGACCTAAAAGCTGGTGACAGGCCAGAGCAGCAGAGATTCCCCCTCGCTCGCCAGGCCCCACCCGCTCCTGCCCAGCCCCCGCTCCAGCTCCAGCACGGCGGCCGCCCGCACTCACTATAGCGCCTGCCCAGCGCCTGGAAGAGCAGCTCCCGCTTCACACTGACCGTCGGCATGTCAGAAGCCTGAGCTACAGCCACACTGCGCATGCGCCTCCCGCACACGCCCGGTGGAAGGACCCCGACTCCGCCAAACTAACCAGGCCCTGGGGCTGTCCTAAAGTATCGCCTGATCTTCGAGTCTCCTTCTGCTCCTGTACCAGCGCTGCTGCCCTCCCCGTCTCACGCTGCCCCGGTGGCCGGCTCGCACACGCTCTCCCCGTGCGGGACCCGCGGCGTGCGAGCGGAACGAAAGGAAGGATGTGACTGGTGTGAGATCAGGCAGAGCCACGACACTTATGGACGCAGGATGATACGTCAGCCGCGCCGGTTCGGCCGAGCCGGCTCCGGCTAGTGAACAGACAGCGCGTAGGGCCCTGGGGTAGCAGCTGCCACCCGCCCGTGCAGGGCCAGGCCCTCTCCTCGGCGATCCCGCGCGCCTTATTCAGCGGCTGCGGGCCCGGGAGGGGTGGCTCCCTCTCACCCACCCACCCACGCTCTGGCTCGGGGCCGCTGGGGGTCGTGGCTTTGGGTAGATCGAAACGTGACGCTTCCACCCCAAATGGTGGCGTGTGGGACGTTCCCCCGGGCTGGTCAGCGCCCTGGTGCGAGAAGGGGCGCGTTATAGGGGCTGGGGCACCGTAGCAGACAAAGCACTGCAGCCCCCCTGGGAATGGCATCGGGCCGCTTTTCCCATCCCTGATTGTGCCACTTGTGGGCCCGGTCTTGCACTCCTTGCACCCGCTAAAGCGCCCTGTGACTGTGCTGGGTGCTAGTGACTTGTGGGGGAGGAGACTAAAGGCTTGTACCGGGTTGTTAAAGTGATGCTCACCCCAGTCAGAGTCAAAAGGCTGAGTTTCCAGGCATGTGAGCTGTACCTTGAACAAATATAATCCCAAAATCTGTGTGAAATTTATCTATGTAAACCACTAACCCCTGCTTCTCAGCAGACCACTTATAATGAAGGGCCTCCCCCACCCCCCTAATGAATAAAGAACAGGAGTACTTGTGGCACCTTAGAGACTAACAAATTTTAATGAATGTTACAGCTATTGTGCTAGCCTGCAACCCTGGGACTTTCTAAGTAATGATAAAGGGGGCTTGTTGAGGTAACAGCAAAGTGCAGTTTGCAGCATCTTTAGCTGGACATTTCAAGTGAGAAACAGTGGAAAACAGAAGATGCACGTGAGGAAGGTTGTTTGCTTGGAGCTCTGCAGGTTTTGTGTCAGGTTTGCATATGGAGAGCTAAGGCTGCTTCTCCATTACCCCTGCACATTCTGTAGTAAATTGAACATAAAATGTTACATAAGTGATTAGATAGTGTTAATGCCCGTTTTGCACTCTGCACTGGTGTAAATGAGCACACAAAGAGCAGGGCAACAGAAAATCAGGCCCCAGGATCCGAGAGACTTCTTTCTGGAAGGAGTGGAGTTCAGACCCAACTCTCTCCTCTCACACTAGTATAAGTTGATAATAACTCCAGTGAAATCAATAGGCCTGATGCTCTTCTAAGTTAAACCGGTGTAAATCAAGAGTAATTGTATTCAAGTCAAAGCCTCGCTGATGTGTTACAGGAGTAAATAAGAGCATGAGACCCCGGTGTTCATGAGTCCTGCAGAGAACCCTTACGAGGGAATATTCTCCGGGATATTGGTATTTTAATTGCCAGTCTGTGAGTCTTTCCATTGATCTGAATGGCCATTGAAATGAGCATAATATATCTAAGAAAGAAGGTTAGTGAGACATGTGAGGACTAGTTACTACAGGTTAGACTAGGACTCAACTCAGGTAATAAAATACAATTATGGAAGAAGTGAGTCTAGTCTATCAGATAGTCAGTACTCAGGCAAAAATTGCATTTTCATATATTTAATATTAGTGGTTTTTTGTGCATACTGCCCCTTTGTGACACTCTGTACCTCGGGGGAGTGCCCGGTAACCCCAATATTAATCATTTATATATAATTGAGATATTTCATATAAAGCATGCCATGTGAGGTATCAGGGAAAGGTTATGATCTGCTGAAAGCCATTGTTCTATCTAGATATGTATATTATTGGTGCATATGCCATTATGAGATTGTGGATAGCTCAGTGGTTTGTGCATTGGCCTGCTAAACCTATGGTTGTGAGTTCAGCCCTTGAGGGGGCCACTTAGGGATCTGGGGCAAAATCAGTACTTGGTTCTGCTTGTGAAGGCAGGAGGTGGAATCAATGATCTTTCGGGGTCCCTTCCAGCTCTATGAGATAGATAGGTTGTCACTAAAATATGCTGTGGGGAATTGCCCAGTTATTAGATTCCCCAGAGATTACAACAAGGGAGCTAATCAATGCCCGTGCAGGTGTTGAACAACCATCAACAGCCATTGTCCAGCAAAGGAGATACAATTCAATGACCTTGTCAGGGGAATTGCTCTATCTTGCCTGGTGACTCAGCAACGCCCACCAGACATACCTGGACTTATGTTCTCCAAACATATGGAACAAGGGTATAAAACGGAACACAGTGGTCCATGCTTGGCCTTTTCTCCTCCCCCCCACGTATGCTGCAAGCAACAAGATTGCTCAAAAGAGTGAGGATGCCAACAGAGGAGACTGGCCCAGGTTTCAAGGGTGAAACCGGTGTATTATGAAATGTAACATCCAGTGGAGTGAGAAAACTGCTTGATCTAAATACTGCCTAGTGTCTTTCAGGTTAGGATTTAGATTGTTTGCTTATTTTGTTTTCTTTTGTAACTAATTCTGACTTTTTACCTGCTACTTATAATCTCTTAAAATCTATTGTAATCAATAAACTTGTTTTACTATTTATCTTTACCAGTGAGTTTGCCTGAAGTGTTTGTGGCCTGAGCAGATTTACCAAAGGCTGGTGCATGTCCACTTTCCATTGATGAAGTGGCAAACTAATTAATAAATGTGCATTGCTCAAGATGATCTATTCCTAGGGTACAAGACTGGGAGCTGGGGGAATGTGGCTGGCACCTTGCTCTGTGTGATTCATGAGTGGTTCTGGAAGCATTCATGCAATCTAGCTGGGCATGGGGCGCCACATGCGGTTGTACTGAGTTGTAACAGCACCTCGAGGGGTTTGCTGTTTGCCACCAATAAGGCATTGTGAGAGACTACCCAGAATAGTGAGTAAAGGGGATAGAGCGGTCCCACAGTCCCAGGTTGCACTCTGAGGATCCCATCACCCTTGTTTTATTACCTGTTGTTCCTGGTTTGTTGCTTTGTTTTTACTTCTCTCCCACTTTTCCTTAAACTTCATTTTAGTGCATATATCAATTAATTAACCTACGGTTTCATCCTATATTTATGTTCTGCTACATTTAGTGTGTATAAGAATATACAAAAATTGAATAAGAAGCCTAACATGTAACCACCCTTTTAAACACTCTTCAATTAAATCAGATAAGTGACTAAAGCATTTCCATTCTGTCACGTTCAACTATTAGAAAAACTGTCTTCAGCATTGCCTTGTTATGAATGGATTATGCTATCATGGAGATATCTGTGACGCTCCTTATAATTGTTTTCTGAGAGGTGTTTTTTATTTTCATATTTCAAGGTGTTTCACCCACGTTTGTGTTTGTTCTTTTCTTTATCCTCCCACATCCTCGGATGCATAGGGTGTCCACCAGTTTCCACCATTTATTTTGGTCTTATGCTGGTCTTTTCAGGCTTCTGAGTGTCATGTTGATGGATTTGGCTTCCTTCTCTATTGTTCTACATAATGTTTTTCTAGATTGCCCTCTTTGTCCTCTTTCCAGGTGGTGCCCATATCATAGGTGCCGACTCTGTGGGTGCTCTAGGACTGGAGCACCCACAGAAAAAAATTAATGTGTTCTTAGCACCCACTGGCAGCCAGCTTCCCCACTCTCCTCCAGCGCCTCCCATCCACCGGTGGTTACACCAATCAACTTCGCCCCCTCCCTCCAGCACCTCCGACCTGCCACAATCAGTTGTTCCGCAGTGTGCAGGAGGTGCTGGGGGGGAGAGGGAGGAGCGGGAATGGGGTGCGCTCGGGAGGAGGTGGAATGGGGTGGGAAGAGGCGGGGTGGGGGCTTAGGCTTGGGAGAAGGGGTCAGGTGGGAGCAGGGCCTGTGGCAGAGCAGGGAGTTGAACACCCCCGGGGCCTGGAGAAGCCGGTGTCTGTGACCCATATTATAACTTGCTGTGGAAGTTATGTTGGGACATCCTTAAAGCATGTCCTAAATATGTCCATTGTCGTCTGACCATATTTGATGCTGTAGATTGATTTGCTCTACTTAGAATTTCTGATGTTGCAAGAAACTCTTTCCAGTGGACTTTGAAGATCTTCCGTAGGCATTTATTTTGGAATTAATTGATCTTATCAATTTTTGTTGTAGATTTCCATGACCTTGCTCCATAGAGGAAGACAGACATCATACAGGTGTTAAAAATGTATATTTGTGGCAATGTCAATCATGCTGCTTTTCCAAATCTTTTCATTTTGCTGCTTTTGATATTTGTTGTTTGATATCTAACATGGTCTCACCATCATTGCACATACCACTCCTTATATGGGTAAAATGAGTTCTAGTATTCCTTCATCTACTCTAATATTATAAGAATTTCTTCATCCACTCTAATGGTTAATAATACCGAATATAGCGGTAGGGATATATTACTGACCAGGATGGTGATAGTGACTGTGAAATGCTCAGGGAGATTAGAGAGACTATTAAAATAAAAAACTCAATAATAATAATAATGGGGGATTACTGGGTACATGTCACCTCAGGACTGAATGCAGAGATAAAGTTTCTTGACACCTTAAATGACTGCTTCTTGGAGCAGCTGGTCCTGGAACCCACCAGAGGAGAGGCAATTCTTGATTTAGTCCTAAGTGGAGCACAGGATCTGGTCCAAAAGGTGAACATAGCTGGACCGCTTGGTAATAGTGACCATAATATAATTAAATTTAATATCCCTGTGGCAGGAAAAACACCGCAGCAGCCCAACACTGTAGCTTTTCATTTCAGAAAGGGGAACTACACAAAACGAGGAGGTTAGTTAAACAGAAATTAAAGGGTACAGTGCCAAA